GAATTATTATTACTAATTATTTATAATAATAATTATTAAAGATGTTCTCACACTGTTGAGAATTAAAAATTTTTTTCATCATACTCATGTGAGTATGAGCAGCATGCACACATTCTAGAAGATTTGGAAAATACAGACGTGTAAAGAAGCTGAAAACATTACATCTGCCACCTTAATCTAAATGGTCTGCTTTGTGGTTGAAATACAAAAGATTTTTTTTATTAAAAAAAGTAATATTTGGTAAAAAAAAAAAAGAAAAAGAAAACCAAAAATCTACCATAGTCTTACAACCCTGAAGTAACCATTAACTACATTTTGGTGGAGTAAAATGGAATTTAAATACCTCTTTCAGCCTCATGGGAGACTGAAAAACAGGAGTGGATTTAAATGATGGCGGGGGCGGGGGGCAGCCCTGTGGCCTAGTGGTTAAGTTCAGTGTGCTCTGCTTTGGTGGCTTGGGTTTGGTTCCTAGGCGCAGACCTATACCACTTGTTAGTGGCCATGCTGTGGCAGTGACCCACATACAAAATAGAAGAAGATTGGCACAGATATTAGCTCAGGGCGAATCTTCCTCAAGCAAAAAGAGGAAGATTGGCAACTGATGTTAGCACAGGGTGAATCTTCCTCAGCAATGAATGAATGAATGAATGAATGATGGTGAATGGCAGGTAAGCAGTTAGTGCTGCCCATCAAGTGGGCAGATTCTGTGCCTAACAAAAGCAGTGAGGTCATGAAGTCTCTCTCCCTGAGCATCTTTATAACGGGCATAGATATGTTGGGGTGAAATCCTGCCTCAATATTTCCCAGGTCTGCCTGGGCAGTTCCAAATACTGTTTAGGGCTCATTCAAAATAAGTCCTAAAGGACTTTGTCCAATAAAGTAATTGAATAAGGTCATTCATCCAACAGATTGAGTGCCTACCATGTGCCAAGACTGTGCCAGATGTTGGGGGTGTGATGATGAATCCAAGAAGATGCTAGCAAGAGCATGGACACTAAACTGACAATCATACAAAGAAATGGAAGGTAGGAGGGACCAGGAGAGGTACAGATGATTTGTTGATCATCTGCTATGCTGGAAGTTTAGCAAATGTGATCTCACTTGATCATCTGGGATCTAGGGGAGGTAATTTGACCTCTGTGGACCTCAACTTCATTTGAAAATGTAGACAGTTATTGGGAGAGAACAGTCGTTAGAGTAGCAAACTGTTCCAGGGCTTGGTTCACTGAAGTCTAAAAATGAGGCACTTCTTACACTTTAGACTGTAAACTTTCTTGGAGGCAAAGAGAGCTGGCATTTAGTGAGTCTGCTGTGTGCAAGGTGCTTTACAAAGATGCCATTTAATCCTAATCCCACCCTTTTGAGTTTATATACTTGGTTGTCCAAATGATGGCCTTGAGTCAATGAGAGGTTTCATAACTTGACCAAGACCACACAGCTGGAGAAGGACTGCAAGAAGATGCAAACCTAGGTCTGCCCAAGTCCAAAGCCAGTGGCAAATACACTATCTCATAGTGAGCTTCTGGGGGTGTTTATGTCCTTTTGGGAATTCCTCGGTCTGCTAATAGTGTGTGTGTTATTCAGATTCCTGGTGTGTTATGTACTTTGCTCATAACTGTGCAGTTTGAAAACAGTGACTCATCCCCAAACAGGGCAGGGTTGAATATCAGTCCTGTTTATCTTACACTGCCCTGTGGCACCTGCGTTGACTTCAAAGATACTTTGTAATAAAAGCACTGTGATAAAAACAGAAAAACACACACCAAAAAAATGTGTAAGTTTGTTTTTTGGTGCTTCTGAGAAGAGAATAAACTCATGAGTCTCATTAACTTAAAAAAAAAATGCCATCTTCTTAAGGTTTAATGACTAAAGCCAATTTTCCAACATGTATCTTGTACAGTACTCAACATACTCTTTTCACACTTAACTATGATATTGTCATTAGTTTCTCTTTGATTCTGCAAGGGCAGAGACCATGAAATATTCACATGTGGATTCCCCCATGACCCAGCTGTGAGAGTCAGGCACTGTTGGCTGGAGAATTAAATAAAGGTGTTTCCGCAGTGCTTGTGTTAGCTTTCTTTTGCTACTGTAAGAAGTTACCACAGATTTAGTGGTTTAAAACAACCTCCGTTTATACCACATACTTTCTGTGGGCTGGAAGTCTGGACACAGTGTGGCTCAGCTGGTTGTCCGATAAGGCTAAAATCAAGGTGTTGGCAGGACTGCATTCCTTTCTGCAGACTGGTTCAGGGGGTAGAGAACCTATGTCCAAACTCATTCACGTTATGAGAATTCAGTTCTGTAGGGTTGTAGGACTGAGCTTCTGCCTACTTGCTGGCAGGGCTCGTTCTCAGCTTCTAGAGGCTGCCTACATTCCCTGGCTCATGGCCCCTTTCAAAGCCAGCAACAGTGGGTTGAGTTCCTCTCAAGCTTCAAATCTGATTCTTCTGCCTCATCTCTCCAAAGTATCTCTTAGGCTTTCCTCTTCTACTTTTAAAGGTCTGTGTGATTAGAGTCACATGCCATTTAACGACGGGGACACATTCTGAGAGAGACGTTGTCAGGCAATTTCGTCATTGTGTGAACATCATAGAGTGTACTTACAAAACCTAGATAGTATAACCTACTACATACACCACAGCTATATGGTACTAATCTTATGGGACCACTGTCATCTATGTGGTCTGTCATTATGTGGTGCATGACTTTACACTGGGCCCACCCAGATAATCCAAGATAATCTCTCTATTTTATGGTCCTTAATTCCATGGAATGTAACATATTCACAGCTTCCAGGGACTAGAGCATAGATAGGTTTTTTTGGAGTGAGGAGGAAACGACATTATTCTTCCTATCACAGTGCCTCTATGAAACATGTAAACTTTAGAGTGAATCTTCTCTAGTTACTCTTTGGAGGTTAGAGGAGGGTGAAACTGCTCAAGAAGAAAACATTTGAAACAAGCCAAATGACTTGTCAAAGGTTACTGTGTCAGCTGTAGATTAAAGAAAAAGAAAAACTCTTTGTAAAAAATCAGGTCAACTTTTCGGTGGTGGAGGGGGAGCTGTTCTTTATTCCCCCCTCTTGCAGTGCAGTCAGAAGGGGAAAGATTTAAAAACATGCCTTGCTTCACCTTCTACATTCTATTCACCTCGCAGGATTTTGTTTACTGGACGTGAAAGTCTTTTGTGTGACGAGCATTAGAAGCAGGAGCAGCGAACTCCACTGTGTTAGGGTTGGCCAGCATACTAAATCTCCTCTAAGTCCTGGCTCTCCCATGTGCTAACACCAGGGAGTGGAGGGGGTGTTTCCTCAGGGAAACCTTTCAAACGTGGCCATTGACCCTCCCTCCCTAATTTTTAAGAGCTGGCTATTAATCCAGTTTAGGACTGATTCTGGAAATGTTTCTGGACATTGATTCAACAAATAGACACAGAAAACCTATGTGTTGGGTACTCTGAACCTCATTTCATTTCATGCTCTACAACTAATGCTCAGAGAGGCTAAATTTGCCCATTGTCTCTCAGCTGGTACCAATTAAACACTTGCTCTATGCCAGAAGCCGAATTGTGTGCACCTAATGTCAAGGTCCCCTTCACAGCCTCTTCCATTCTGCCAGGTGTTTTATGTTAATTTTAATCCTGATAATGCTGTTAGGTATTAGACTAATGTAGATTAGAAAAGTGAGGGCTCAGAGAGTTTCAGCCCCTAGTTTTAGGCTGATAGCCAGGGAGTGGCTTCGCCAGGAGTCCAGTCTAGGTCCTTTTGGCTCCAGGGCCTGTGTTCTCTCCAGCGTACCGCCTCTAAAAAGGACTCAGGTGCATTCTGGTTAGTATGGCCCCAAAGTCCACGTTCTTTACACCACCGTCATCACATCACCAAGTTCACCAAGTGGTAAGAATGCTCTAGGCTGCGGGTGCAATCTTCGGCAAACATATAGCGGCATAAAAGCACAGGGGAAAATGGGGACTGCCTAGGTCCATCAATCGCGGAATAACCGTTTTACTGGTATGAGTGTCTTTTTGTCTCATTATTATGCGGCAGTGAGTCACTTAGGGGAGGACCAAAAGGGAAAGTCCTGTCTCTTGTCACCTACGAGAAATGTCGGTCAGAAGAACCGCTTAGGCGAGGCGAGGTACACAGTGGGCGCTGAGAGCCGAGCTACCGATTCTCGATCCCCACCCTTACCCGCCCGGCGGCCCCGAGGCGAGGAGCGGCGAAGGGGTTAACCGTGGTCGGGGGAGCCCAGCCACCGCCCCTTCCCAGCATCGCCTCCCAGAATGCCTCAGGCCCCCAGGCAGTTCCCGCACCTCGCGAGACTCCGCCCAGTCCTTCCCCGAACGATTGCCAGTCCCCCTTCCTTACCGAGCTCTGCGCGCTACGGAGGAAGGGAGGGGAGGGCAGAAAAGACGGGCCGCGGGGCACGCAGGGAAGTGTGGTCCAAGCGTTTCACGCAGCCATATTCTTCCGGAGCGGGTGAGGCCAGAGAGGCAACCGGGACTACGATTCCCAGCCGCCCTTTCGGTTTGTTTTTGTTCAAAAAAAAAAAACCCCACACTCCCCCTCCTCACTCTTCACACACACTCACACACACCCACGGCAGACACGCACACACCCGGGCGCCGAAGGGAAAGCCGCATCTCGCCTTCCCGCCCCACCGCCAGTCCTGTCTCGGCCCCTCAGCAGAGCGGGAAAGCGGAGGCCGGAGCCGTGACCTCTGACCCCGTGGTTATGCGGAGCCGCCGCATTCCTTAGCGATCGCGGGGCTGCCGCCGCTGCCGCCGCTGCCGCCGCCGCCGCCGCCGCCGCCGCCGCCGCCGTGGGCGACTGACGCAGCGCCGGCGCGTGGAGCCGCCGCCACCCCTCCCCCACCACCGCCCTCGCGCCGGTCTCGCGCCAGCCGGTCCCCGCGCGCCCGCCCCTTCTCCCCGGCCGCACCCGAGTGCTCGCGCGCCGCTGCCGCCGCCACGCGCCCCCCCGCGCCGCCGCCGCCGCCGCCGCCCCAGTCCCGTGCCGCCGCCCCAGCCCGCCCCGCCCGGAGGTCCCGCGTGGAGCCGCCGCCGCCGCCGCCGCCGCCAGGGAGGAGGAGGATGAAGGACAAACAGAAGAGGAAGAAGGAGCGCACGTGGGCCGAGGCCGCGCGCCTGGTGAGGCGGGCCGCCGAGCGGGGCTCGGTGGGGGGTCTGGGGGGTGGGCTCGCCGAGCACCCCCACCGGGAGGGGGGAGGGGCGAGGCCCTGCCCACCGCAGGAGGGGGCGGGGCCACCCTTGCACTGGGAACGGGACAACCCCGAAGGCGTCGGGTGGGGAGAGGTCCCCGGCCGGGTTGGATGTGGCGCCTTTTTTGCACGGTTCCCCCCCACCCCAAATTCCTGCGGAGGGGCGAGCTGGCAGGCCGGCTCCTCCCGCTCCGGGCGGCGGGGCCCCAGCCTCCCCTCCCCCACTGTTTGGCAGCGTCTGGGGGTCTGGGGAAGCTTCGTTTGTGCGCTCGGGGGAGTTGGGTTTCCGGGAAGGGTCGGAAGCTCCTCCCTCGCTTCCTGGTGGGCAGTGGGGTGGTGCGTTTGACTCGAGGGGTGGGAAAGCGCCCCCGATTGCTGGGACGCGAATGGCATTTTGAGCTTTGCCGATCTAAACCAGGTGTGTGGAGGGAAGAAGAGCTCGCTCCCAGCTTGAACCCTGAGCAGTGGTTCGCAAACTTTAGTGTCCTGTGGGGACAGGACACCTGGGGAGGTGGTTAGGAATGCTGCTCCTGGGGCCCTGCTGAAGACCGACTGAGTCTGAGACTTTGCAGTAGACCCTGAGTGTCTTCGTTTTAACCAGCTTCCCAGGTTGCCTGTAGTGCAGGTGGCTCACCACACTTTGAGAAATGCTGACTAGAGTGTTTTACTTCGTAAGCTAGACGGGAGATGGGCGCTCTGCAGAGAACTGACTAGCTTTGCAAAGAATATCTGTGTTCTCTGTTCCTTAGTGTCCTCGTGTATGTACACATGAAGTGCTGGACAAAGACCAAGGGTCTGTTTGAAGATACTGCTCTCTGAGGACTTAGCAGAGGAGAGAGTAAATTTGAGTGTTTGAAGCTGCCTGGTGAGGGGGGTTGTGAATTTTCTGTTTTCAAAGTGTCAGAGGACTTGTAAGTGAAGTATCTTCCTTTTGGATTTGCACCCACAAAGCTAAGACACTTTGAGACATGTTCTTAAGAAATCTTGCTGATGACAGTCGTAAGAGGTTACGCTTTTCTCAGAGATGTCACTTTCTCAGAACTGTCACACAGCAGTGTTATAGGGCAGATCGCATACTCATGTCTTGACACCCTGTAGTTTATATGTAATTGCTATAATTTACTTTTAATGATGAATGAACCTCAACCTTCTCATCTTTGATTTTATTGAGAAGTGAGGTTCCTGCCTTGAAGGTATTGTGCAAAAAAAGATGAGTATGTGTTGGGGGTTGTTACAAATCTGTGGTACACCTTTTTCTTTCTTGAAGCCTGTAAAACTGTTAGTAACTTTGAAGAACTAAAGCTGTTTGGTTTATGGGAGAATTTTCACTGATGTTCCTGACATTCTTCCCCAGGCGTTTGTTGTCCAAGGAACAGAAATAGCAATTGTTTTGTATGCTGAAGTTTTGTGTTTCAGTTAATTTGTTTCAAATGAAATTTGAAGATTTTGTAGTTTCTAAGTTTTTTTTTCTGATTCAATCAAAATTGGAAGCTATGGCTAGTTTTCAGGATCTCTTGGAAATTTCAGGATTTCTCCAGTGTTTCTTCCCCTGGAAACAAATTTAGGTCTGAAGGAGAGTAGGGGAGAGCCAAAAGGATGTGTTCTCTTTCTCCTCAAGGTTGAGTCTTGGGTGTTCATTGAAATTCTCCTCTGAGTTCCTGTTATATGCGGGTGTTTATGACTCTGGGCACCAAAAGGAAATTTGCTTGCCAGAATTTTACTTTTTAGAGGTAGGTGAAAGTACCTTTAAATCCTGTGTTATTTATGTCCTGACAGAATTCTAGGCTGTTTGTCTCAAAGCTCTGTTGGCTCTTACTAGTTGAAAGACTTTAGGAATTTGGGGTTCACTGTTCTGTTAAGCCCCTTTCGGTTCTTGAATTTATTGTGACGTGAACTCCGGTATCCAGGTTGTTATTTCGGTTTTATCATTGGCTCAACTTCATGCCAGATTATCGGAGTAAGTTTTCTTTTTCTTCTGTGGCTCTTCATTAAAAAATAGTAATATGAATAGGAATTACTTAAATATGTGAAAGATGACTTGTGGGAACATGGTGCATAATTTTACGTATCTTTCATTGTCTTTTCGTTTAGAATTTTCCATCCCTTTGGATGGGAGTGATTGGTGGGTGAGGGGAAACTTTTTAGAGTCCTCTCCCCATTAAAAAAAAATTGCTGTAACAAACTGAGTGCTGGAGAGTTTGTGAGAGCTGACGCTGGACAGAGAGCAGCTTGACTAGAGTGAGCTGTAACAGGTAGGGCGGAAGATTCAATCTGACTCCTCTGTGGACAGGTGAATTGGGAGTGCTTGCCACAGCCGGCAGTCAGATGCACTTGCTTTGTGGCAGTTTTGTATTGCTCCTGATCTTAATTGGACTGGTGGCTAGAGTGATACTAGGAACCCTTTTAAAAACTATTTTCGTAGGAAAGAAGAGACTTTGGAGAATTTCAGTAGTTTTTTTGAGTTTTTGCAGGAGATTGAGTTTTACAGATTTTAATTGTGTTGTTGAGAAGTAGACATTCTTTCAAACATTTGATAGTATTGTCTTTTCTAGATGTAAGAGGTAGATTTTAGGGGGTTGGATGGATATAAATCCTCCTCCTTGTTAGGAACAGTTTGTTTAGGAGAAACAGCCTAGGGGATTTCCCTTTAAATTGAATGCCCTTAAATGGATTCTCCCTGGCTTTGAGAAACTCTTCATTGCCGCTTTATCTTTCACTTTGATTCATGACTGACCATTCTTACATCAAACATTTTTTTCCCTTTGAAGTAGAAGAGATACTTTTTTTCTTCTTTTAAAGTGTGCTCTAGAAAGACAGAGACTAGAAATAGAACACTGCTGAATTGTTCTTATACTAAAAGCTGGAGGCATATACAATTTTAATAGAAGTGAATATTTTGTGTCTTTTGATGTAACTTTCCTTTAGAGATTTTGTTTCTTCTGTCTTAGAGTCTCAGGCTCTTTCAGACCGCTGTTTAAATAATTAGTAACTAGTTTTTCAGAGTCATGCTTCTTAAAAAAAATTATCCTACAAAAATTCACTAGCTCAGCTCACACTTTATTAGTATCAAAGAAATGATTATCTGTGGCAGTGAACATGAGTGGCTTGTACCAGCTTTGTTGTGAGCTTGTTCGAGTCAACACTGCCTAACTTGGCACTTAGGCTCTTGGAATACAAAGACGGATAAGGTTTGCCCTTGAGACACTTTGGTCTTCTGAGGATGGGGAAGGCCCAGACACATGAATAGAGTTGTACGCAGGCGAGATAAAGCCATTGTAGATGGGTAAATGGTAAACAGACATCCTGGTTCCTGCTTATTGTTCAGTATAGTTCCTCCTTTGGCTCTCAAGTGTCCTGCTTTGGAAGATAAATTCTATGTGTTGTGGAACTCTGGGGACACTGAAAAGACATTTAACTCTGCCTTGCGGAGATCAGAGAAGGCTTCCTGGAGAAAGGTGCTTTCCTAGCTGAATCTTGAAGGGTGGATAGGAGTAAGAATCATCACATAGAATGTAAGCAGGAGCTGGTGACAATAAATGGCAGGAGAGTGTCTCTGTGTGTATTTGCAAGGTAGAGAGTGTGGGAACTGAGAAGGACCACACGTTGTTATTGGAGCATAAAGTTTGTGGATTGTCACTTTGGCAGTCAGGTAGAGAGACAGGCGGAGACCAGCTTGTGAGGACCTTGTGTGCCAGGCCTTGAGTGCCTGCTTTGTGCCGGGCACTGCAGGCACACACTTAAATGATCTCTAATCTATTCAACAACCGGGAGAGGAACACAGCGGTATCCTTACTTCACAAATGAGGGAGCCAAGTTCTTAGGTTGGGTAGGTAACTTGCCCAAGTTTAGAAGGCCGGAATTGGAATCCATGTCTGTCTGGTTCTAAAGCCTGTGCTTTTCCAGTGGGCCAGTGGACCTGGCAGCTTCAGCTTTTGCTGTACGTGGTTAGGTTGCAGGGAAGGTGGAGAGAGCAGGTTTGCTTTGTTGGGCTGACCTCAGGCTATAGCATGTAAGTTCTGTGGGAGCAGGGACTGGGTCTTGTTTACCGAAGAATTCCTAGAACTGTCCCTGGCTCGAAGTAGGTGTTTCGTGTAATTGTCGAATGCAGGATGGCAGCGGAGTAAGAACGATGTGTGGACAGCAGGGCTGGTTGCAGAGATGTTAGCGAAGAGGCTGTTGTGTTGGGTCAGGTAGGAAGCTGGCTGTGAGAGCTGCGGGGCAGGTGAGAGTAAAGGGTGATGCCTGGGTTTCTAAATTAGGTGCTTAGGCTGGCTGCCGACCAAGGTGGGGAATATTGGAGGAAGAGGGGAGCTGTATTACTAGAGTTGCTGGTTCTATGAATTGGAGGGGAGATGAGTTAGAGTAGACGGGCAAAAGGGGACATCCAGTATGGAACTGAACATTTGAGGCTGAAGATGGGGAGAAATCTGGGCTAGAGGGAGAGATTCGGGAGTTATCAGAATTTAGGTAGTAGTTGAAACTGTGGGATGAGGAGGTTACCGAAGGAGAATGTAAAAATTGAAAAGAGAGAGGCTGAGTACGGGACCATGGCAAATAGGGGTTTTATTTCAGAACCTGCTTCTCCAAATCTTGAGTTCCTTTAGTGCTAAGGGCTCATGTTCTGCCACAGAGAGAACCTTTAGCTGCAGTCCTATCAGACTTCTTGCTTTACATTTTATTTGTGATGGCAGTGCTCAGTTGTTATGATTGTTAAGTGACTTCAAGATGTTAGTGTGATTTGGAGTAACCTCAGCAGCTGCATAGGTAGAGACAGTATGAAGATACTGATAGCCTGTCTTTTTCTTTTTCTCCCTTAGAGGATAACATTTCTAAAACTCAACTTTTTTTTTTAAAGATTGGCACCTGAGCTAACATCTGTTGCCAGTCTTTTTTTTTCTTCTTTTTCTCCCTAAAGCCCCCCAGTACATAGTTGTATATTCTAGCTGTGAGTGCCTCTGGTTATGGCATGTGGGACACCGCCTCAGCGTGGCCTGATGAGCAGTGCCCTCTCTGCATCCGGGATCGAACCAGCAAAGCCCTGGGCCACCGAAGCAGAGCGCCCGAACTTAACCACCTGGCCATGGGGCCAGCCCCTAAAACTCAGCTTCTTAAAGTGAGAGAGCTGCAGTTGCTCCCTGAGAAACTACTGTCGTGACTTAGTTGCAGATGGTGCTGACATAAATGGGATGTTCCGTTTCTCATTGTTTTGCTTGCAGCAATCATAGAGAATCATACCATCATGTTGCCAAATGGCAAAATGTACTGTGGCAGTTAACACTAGAATTTCATAACATGGTGGCAAAAATCAGCATTGAAAAATATTTGTACTTACCAAACTTCCTTGGGAAAGAAAATCTGCGTGCATTTCTGTCTTATAATTTATTGTGTAGCGCTATGGTTTATTAGCCGTATTAACGGCATCATGTTAAGTAGTAACCAGGGTTGCCAAGACCCCACATACCGTAACTTGTACACTAAGAAGATGTGGTTTTTAGAATTGAGAATTAGAATATTTCAGCTAATTGCAGTCACCTTTCAGCAACTAGATAGATACATATGTAATTTGGTTTCTGAAGTAATTTTAACTGGAAAAACTAAATTGTGAGCAGTGGTACCTCAGAGCAGAACTGTAGCCAGTGAGATAGATTGAATATAAATGAAAATTGCACACTGAAACCAGAACATTTATATTTCTTCAGGTACTAGAAAATTACTCGGATGCTCCAATGACACCAAAACAGATTCTGCAGGTCATAGAGGCAGAAGGACTAAAGGAAATGAGGTTTGTATGGCTCTTGTCGCTTACCATGAGGGTTTCATAGGACATGTGTTTTTGTGTAGTTATGCAGTGATATGAGTAAGTCTGCATGTGCACACACACACACGCTCACGTGTCTGGTGGCGGTGTGGAACTATCTCCCAGGTTGTGTATCCTCTCAGCGGAGGGTGGGAGTGGGTGAGCATCCATTTGTTTTCATCAGAGATGTAGTGACTTTCCCCATCCTTGCTCTCCCTTAAATCTTGACATTGAGCGTGGTTTTTTGTATAAGGAGTTGGTACATTTTGTTCTCTGTTTTGCGTGTTTCAGTGATAGAGAGGGGGTGGACTCTGATAGGCTCTGTCATGTCTAAAACTACCCTTCTCTCTATGCCATATCTCTGAAGTCCTTTGTTTTAGGGTGGTCTCATCACCATTAAACTCACCTTTTTTCCCCTCACTGATTCTACCCATTGGTGATATGAGTATACTAAATTTGAGGTGACTTTGATTTTCTTATCCTGTGATGTAGTTTTCCTAGAGAAGCAACAAGTTAGAAACACAAAAGGAATTGGAGCCACAAAACCCAGTGACCGTCCCTAATCCTTTTCTCTCTTCACCCTCACCCCAACCTTTTTTTTTTTTTTTAATGAAAGAGGAGAGCACAGCAAAGTCCCTTCTTGGGACATAGAACAAACAGCATATGTTTTTGCTGGTTAAGCTTTAGCTGCTTGAAATTGACCTCTTAGGGTCAAAAGATCCTCCCTGTCCAATTGACAGTTCAGACATTCTCAAGTTGACGTTTTGTGGGGAGGGAATACCAGGATTGTCTAGATCACATTCATTTAAATAGTACCTGTGCACTGTGTAGTGTTATAATTGTGCTTTATTTTTGTTTTTATGGGCTATTTCCCATCATGCTGCTGTCTGCACTGCTGTTGGACCACTATGACTATAGAAGGTAAATTAGTCCCTTTGGGACAGATGGAATTGAGAATCTTAACTTGTTTCTGCTTCTTGCTCTTATAGGAATTATGAAGCAGTCATGGTGGCTCGTGATGAGTGAGCAGCTCTGTCATTTGTAGACAGAGCTATAGTGTGTAGGAGTCACACTGTTCACAGAAGGACTCTCCCAGCATGCCGTTACCCCTGGTAGCAGAGATGTTAGCACACCCACTTGATACTCCAGATTCTGCACAAGGTTTCTTTTAGAGATTGGTTCTTGGTGAAAAATTTTTTTAGCATGCAGTGTGTTCCAAAGCAGAATAAGTAATAGGTTTTTTTTTTTTCTAATGGCTTTTTTAGACTCAATTTATTTTTAACACTCTGCATTAAATTAGGGCCCCTAGTTCTGAAAAATGCTAAGAGGCTTTAGTTAGGATATTTATATATTTTTTTTTAACATGCTGGGGAGTGGGAAGAGAAGGTAACACTAACATGCCAATGCCAAACTCAGTTAATATTAATAATGGGCATTTGTATTTTTGACAGCTTTTCTATTTTAAGATTCATTAAGTAGCCTCTAACTCACTGAGTTGTCATTGTTTTGCAAGCTACTATTGGAGCAGGGACCATGAAATAATTTAATATGCCATCTTCTTTTTGGTTTAACGTTTGAGCATTTTGGGGTACTAAATCTATTTGACTGACTTTTCTTTTTATATTCAAATTTAAATGATTGCTCCGGGGTAGATGTAGAGTAAAACCTATCCTTCCCGCTTGCCAACAGAGAAAAAGTAAATGAAATACTGTTCCTTTTGTGTGCTTGTTAGAAAATATTTAACTGGAAGGAAAAAGGTGTGCTTGTTTTCTTGGGCCTCACCGTTGATTCTGTGGTCTTTGTGTTGATAATGTTATGTGGCAGTTTCTGAGCATGCGGTGTAGGTGGGACTATAGAGGCTGGGAAACTCCCAGTACTATCACATAACATGTCTTATCCCAGAGCTCTCTGGGTGTGATGGATGTGAATTTCATTTGTTACTTTTTTGCTACTTTCAAAGTGGCATTGTTGTCATGGGATCTTTTCTCCTGTAATCCTTGCTCTGCTGCTTCTTGGTTTAAGAATGAGTTGGAGGGTATTAGATCTTTGAGTAAGTAGGCAGATGGATTTATATGACCCTCATCCATCCTTGTATGTATTTACAGTGGGACATCCCCTCTCGCTTGTCTCAATGCCATGCTACATTCCAATTCAAGAGGAGGCGAGGGGCTATTTTATAAACTGCCTGGCCGGATCAGCCTTTTCACACTCAAGGTAGGTAGTATAAACTCTGTTTTAGAGCAGTGGTTGTTAACTTTTAGTGTGCATAAGAATCACCTGGTAGGTCTGCAGTGAAGCCTGTGAATTTGCATTTCTAAGAAGCAGGCAGGTGAAGCCTATTCTGTTGATTCTAAATGGCACTTTGAGATGTTCTGGTGTGAACAGGGTATTAGGAATTATTTAGTTATAGCAGCTATTGTGTCTATATTCAGCTTTTCTTTGTCTGTATCTTTGCAGATTGTATGCAGTGGAGGGATAAGTATGTGTGGGGGTAATTGCAAATGTGCCTTAATTAGGATTTTGTTTGTAGTAATATTGTGAAGGATAAATTACTGGACAGCTAAAGTAAGACCTGCTCCATGGAAAAGAACTGAAATGTGAACATACTTGTGGAAATTCAAAAACTCTAGCATTACTAAGTAATGCTTAGTAGCATTTACTAAGTGACACTAATTACAAAGGAAGAGAACTTAGATCAGGTAGAGTTCATAATAAAGCTTAAATAGAGCTGAAATGAACAGGCTGTTTTTCTACCATTTGTGATATATACGGCTATCATTTAAACCAGGGGTTGGCAAACTTTTTCTGTGAAGGGCCAGATAATAAGTATTTTAGGTTTTGTGGGCCATACTATTCATAAACTATTCAGCTCTGCCTTTGTAGCAGGAAAGCAGCCATAGACAGTGCACAAAAAAATGTGCATGGTTGTCTTGCAAACTTTATTGACATAAACAAGCAGTGGGCCAGATTTGGTGTGGGGTTGTAGTTTGCCAACTCCTGGTTTAGACTTAAGATCATCTGTTGGTAGTGTGGATCCTGAAAATTTGATGCTGACCCTTATACTCCTCTATAATACAGTTATAAATTATAGTAGTTCACATACAACTTTTCTCTTTAAGTTTTGTTCTCTTACTAGACTTGTTTTCTTCACTTAATTCAAAGTTAGACACTTGAGCAAAATACCAGGTGTATAACCTGCAGTCATAAACTTGATCTTTATGTACAGGTCAGATGTATCTTATGTTCATGTGTCTGTGCTGTTTTCTGTATTGCTTTTATTGCTAATATTTTGGGCTTTTTTTGTTAAGAGATAACATAATGTAATGTCAGGAACCAAGCCGTGGGAGGGACAGAACCTTGAGTTCAAAACCTGGCTTTATAGCCTGGGACGGGTTTAACCCCTCCCTATTGTGGTGTATGCTTTCCTGACAGAGTCAGTTCTTAATAAATGGTAGCCTTTATTCCTTTAGGTTCCTCAAACTTAATTGCTTGTTCATGACATTTTTCTATTATATATCATATATTGTTATATGTAATAGTGAATAATTATAATTATACATATTATATATTACAAATATGCTTGCTAATGGCATATTTCTGTTTTAAGCGGGAGGAGAAATACCTTTTTCTGTGAACACCTTGAGGGTCGGAACTGAGTTTTATTTGCCTTTGTGACTTGGCCCTGGGCAGAATTCTTGGCATAGTCCCTGCTTAATAAATATTTGAACTGAATTAGATTTCTTCATTTTAATTTTAATGTGTCTGAGTAAACTGCACTGTGTGAACCTGCTGTGAGCTAGCAGGTGTTCTGTTAGTCTGTTGCCCGCGTCTGAGATGCATAGATTGAAGGTGTGCCCAGCATGCTCTCCCATTTGCCTTTGGCTTTATGTTGCTTAGTCTTCATAGCATCTGGCTCATTGAAGTTGTCCATCACCTCTCTGATACTCTTTTTGCTCTTTTCGGGTTAATGGTTTGCGTGTCTGGTTCCGCTAGTTAGACTGTAAACTTGAGGGCAGAGATTAGGTCTTGTTTCAGTATCCACTAGGATACTGTACAAAGTAGCCATCAATAAATGCATTATTTAATGACTGAGTTACTGAATAATGGCTACCTTCTGGTACTTCATTATCCTTTTGTTTTGACATTTGATGATAAATAAACTGCTCATAATCTTGATGGAACTCTCCCTAGATTTGCCTCTGGCATCTAGCTCATACCTCAGCCAAAAAGAAGAGTTTACTGCTGTGGCTTTGGTAGAATTTTAGCTTGGTTAATTACCTGTTTGTGTCTCTTAACATTCTGACCTGTTTTAAAAGCAATATATGCAAATGCAACAGAAAGCACAATACAACAGAGAAAGTGAAAGTAACCCATAAATTCTGCTACTTGTAACCTAAGTAATAATTTATATTAATAGTACTTGAAAAAATCAGCTAGGTTCCTTGTGGCTTTGCTGCTTGCCGTATTCAGTTAGTGTATTTGCTGTCATGTTACATATAGACCTACCTTCTTCTCCTTAAAGACTTCTTTTTTAAAGAAGATTCTCTTTAAAGACTCTTTCTAAAGCTTCTTTTTAGAGGCTTCTAGACTCCAGGTTATGAGTGTGTGGTAATTATTAGTCTCCCGTTAAATGCCTCATTATCACCACACCATCTCCCGGAAGTTGCGCAGGTGTTTACTTTATTGTTATTCAGGCACGGGTAGGAAAGGGTACCAAAAATCTGAACCAGCTGATCGCCTGAGATCCCAGGTCTGCCCACTAAACACTTGAGTGCAACGTGGTGTTAAGTAAATTTTTTTTATCCTACTTTTTTTTAATTTGAAAAAATTTCAAACCTACAGAAAAATTGAAGGAGTACTACAATGAACCCCCTACCCCTCTGGCTTTTCTAACCATTGCTGCAGTTGGCCACATTTACTTTATCCCTCTCTACACATGTATGCTTTTTTTTTTTTTTTTTAGAACCATTTGAAAGTGTTAACTAGTACCGGTACTTCACCCCTAAATATTTTAGAATATCTTAAGAACAAGGACATTATTGTACATAACCACAACATCATTATCACATTCAAGAAAGTTAACGTTGATAAAGTAGTATGTAATATATAGTCCACATTCAAATTTTCTGTAGTTGTTCCAAAAACATTCTTTATAGCTTATTTTTCAAATCCAGCATCCAGTCAGAAATCATGCATACGTTTGGTTGTCATGTCTCTTTAATCTCCTTTAATATAGAACAGTTCCCTTGCCTTGTTGTGTTTTTCATGGCATTGATATTCTTGAACAGTCTGGGTCAGTTTTATAGAATTAAATACACTGTAAAGAGCTAATAAAAGTGTAGAAATCTTGGTTATTTCCAGACTCCTTTATGTTTGTACTGCTGGATCATGTCTTCTGTTCCAGGTTGTGCCCCAGAGCCCCTCAGCACTGAAGGACTGAAGTGAGGGGATAGTTTGTGGACCCACGGATTGGTTGGTCAGGATCTTGCCTGTAATAGGGACAGGAAGATACAAATTATTTAACTCACATTTCTCGTTTTTCCCTTTGAAGGTGGTAGTGGCACCTTTGAAATCCTGTGGCATTTTCTTTGCCTATGTTTTCTCTCATGTGTTAAGGAAAAGCACATGCAGAAAGGCTTGGTCGTTTTTCTGCCCCCTGCTTGGAGATCTCTTCCAGTGAGCCCTCAAGGTCAGAATTATATTTGTCCATGTGGTTTTGCTACTTATTTGAAAAGAGGAGTTTTTTCAGTTCTGAATACATTTGTGTGGCCTTATCTGTGATTATGGAAGGTTTACTGATAAGCTGGAGTCTTTTTGGGCATGCCACAGGGTTCCTTCTCTGATAAAGTTGTTCTAGGTAGTGTGATGGTGCGTACATTGGACATTTTATATGTAGATGCTTGCATCAGCCCTCAGAGCTAGTCCTCAGGGATGGTTGGAATAGGTGAAATCTATCCGTGCTTTGAATTCTTGATTTGCTTTGCTTTCCTTAAGCTTTTCTTGAAGTCAGCTGTCAGGATCCATCATTGCCTGGTTAGAGGTAAGATTTACATCATATTTTACACTTGAGATTTCCCATCCTTATAAAACCTTTGTGAGCTCCTGTGTAGTGTTCTGCACTTTTAGGACTTGACGCTGAACTCCTATGCTTTTGTGACTCGATGTTTGTGTCACTGGTGAGTTTAACCTGGGTTATAAGTGGTCATTCCAGCATTCACCGTCTGGCATAACTGCAGTCATCTGAACATTGTTCAGTTTTATTGTGGAATGAGGTTCAAATTGAGATGTTACTTATGGCTGTTTGCACTTGTTATATCTCATGTGGTGATATAGGGCTCAGCCTTCAGGGCTTTTGATTCAATTAACAGGCCTAGTTGAATCTTTTTAATATATAGAATATTTTTTAAAAAGTGTAAAAAACATCTTCCTGGTAAAAGAAATAGATGACTATACTTGAAGTATCCATCCATTAAAACCCACAGTTTGCAAATAGAGGAAAAAGCCAATGGAGGAAGAGAGGGAGGTAATTATTTCAGTCTCGCAATGTTTATTTATGTAACTACAATTAAAGTATTCACGTACAACTCCACACTTACAGCAGTTTTAAAACTATTTATATTACCCTTAAATACCAAGTAGAACAAACAGAGTCAGCCTGGACTTAGATACAGTAAAATCGTAGTTTGTCAGAAAGGCAGTGTCAGAGTCCCTTTGACTTTTGATAGGTGTGCAGCCAGCAGAGTGGTCTTTTAAAAATGCAGATCACATCATGTCACCACCCTGCCTGGCCTTCGCCTGCCTCTCTGATCTGCTCTTCTGGCGCTTTCCCCTTGGTCATCATACTTCAGCCACCCTGGCCTTCACTCTTTTTCTCAAACACATGAAACTTGTGTCCACCTCAGGGCCCTTGCACTTGTTAGCCCCTGGAAAGCCCTGGGGTAGCTTCTTGTCATTTGGTTTTTTGTTCAAAAGTATCTTCTCAGTGAAGCTTTCACTAACTACCAATCTAATTCCACAGCTTCATGAGAGTCTTTGTTAGTTTCGTAGCCCTGTCAGCCTCAGAAATTACCTTGTTTGGTTACTTGGTTATGGTTAGCCTCCTCCACTAGACTGTGAGGACAGGGACTTTGTTTTCACGCATTATAGGTACTTGATAAATACTGGCTGAATGAAAAGTAGAAGATGGTATCATCGGAATCTTAAGCCAGCTGGTT